GGCTGGGGGTAGCTTAGCCTCAGCCGCGCCGCCGGTTGTCCTGTTTCTGCTCGTTAAACGTCTTTGCTGTAATTCCGTCCACCGTGGATCAACAGGTGGGGCGTGGATCGGGCGGGTCAGAGTTCAGAGGTCAGAGGTCGGGGGTCAGAGGTCGGAGGGTGGAAGCTGCTGTTATTTGGCGTTTAGTTAGTTACTAGTTAGTTAGTTAGTTTCTAGTTTGTTAGTCAGTTATTGGTTTGTTACTCAGTTAGTTAGTTACCAGTTAGTCAGTTAGTTAATACTTAGTTAGTCAGTTAGTTTGTTAGTTACTAATATAGTTACTAGTTTGTTAGTCAGTTATTTTCTTATTGATTTGTTAGTCAGTTAGTTAGTTACTACTTTGTTAGTAAGTTTGTTAGTTACTAGTTAGTCAGTTACTTAGTTATTTAGTTACTAGTTTGTTGGTCAGTTACTAGTTAATTAGTTACTAGTTAGTTAGTCAGTAGCTTGTCAGTTAGTTACTAGAATGTAAGTCATGTAGTTAGTTACTATTAGTTAGTTAGTTATTAGTTTGTTAGTCAGTTAGTTCATTAGTTACTAGTCTGTTAGTCAGTTAGTTCGTTAGTTACTAGTTAGTTAGTCAGTAGCTTGTCAGTTAGTTACTAGAATGTAAGTCATGTAGTTAGTTACTATTAGTTAGTTAGTTATTAGTTTGTTAGTCAGTTAGTTCATTAGTTACTAGTCTGTTAGTCAGTTAGTTCGTTAGTTACTAGTTAGTTAGTCAGTAGCTTGTCAGTTAGTTACTAGAATGTAAGTCATGTAGTTAGTTACTATTAGTTAGTTAGTTATTAGTTTGTTAGTCAGTTAGTTCATTAGTTACTAGTCTGTTAGTCAGTTAGTTCGTTAGTTACTAGTTAGTTAGTCAGTTACTAGTTAGTTAGTGACTAGTGTGTTAATCAATTAGTAAGTTACCAAGTTAGTTACTAGTTAAGCATTTAGGTAGTTACTAGGTTGTTAGTCAGTCAGTTAGTTAACTATTAGTTTGCTAGTTATTGGTTACAGCTGGTCTTTGCTGTAATTCCGTCCACGCGGCGCTGGGGTTTCTACGCCGTGGATCAACACGTGGGGCGTGGATCCGGCGGGCCCTTAGGAGGTGTAGACGGTCTGGCGGCTCGGAGGTCAGAGGTCGTAGGTCGGAGGTCAGAGGTCGGAGGTCAGAAGGTGGAAGCTGCTGCCGTTATTGGGCGCCTGAAAAAAAATCCTTTTTTT